AATAACGTTGCTACACACAAGATACACTGCAGATACTCAAGTACCTTTGATAGCATCCTCCAAACCCTACTATAAAGGCAGCAGATATTTGGGAACATCAGCACCGGTGGCAGTATGAGTGATACTGCTGCCTCACAGCACCAGGGACCCAGGTTTGTTTCCACCCTCAGGTGACTGACTGTGTGGAGTTTGCACATTCTTCCTGTACATGCAGGTTTCCTCCGGCTGCTCCAGTTTCCTCCCATAGTCCAAAAATGTGCAGGTTAGGTGGATTGACCATACTAAATTACCCATAGTTTGTCCAGGGATGTGTAGGTTAGATGGACTAGCCATGGTTAATGCGGGCCTTCTGAGATAGGGTAGGGGAGGGGGGGCTGGGGCTGGGCGGGATGCTTTTTGGAGGGTCAGTGTGGACTTGATGGGTCAAATGGTCTCGTTCCACACTGTAAGGATTCTATGCAAGTTCCCATCCTGACTTGGAAACAAGTTGACATTTCTTCCGCATTGCTAGGTCAAAATCTTGTAACATGCTCCCTCATGGCATTGTAGGTGTATGTAAATGGAGTGCAGCGGTTCAAGAAGCTAGCTTGCAGCATATTCTGCAGGGCAACTAAAGCTGGATAATAAATGACAGCTACACTCCTCAAATTAAAAAAGGTGCTCAGACATATTTCTCTTTATTTGCAGTAAACAGAATTTTGATATGAATCCATATCACTTCTCACAACCCTAAATAAGATATGTTTTGTGCTCGTCTGATCATAAATTAGTTGTTAGTCTAGGTTTTAGCACATTCAGGATTGTTCAGCCAATCATATCCACTAATAAGAATTCTGAAAGCATGGATTAGACGATACAGTCTATAATCTGCCTACTATAGAACAAAGGCTCAGGATTCCAAGCCAGTGTACCTGGGACCATACCAACACTAGTATTCACATTCAACACTGCTCTATTATGTCGTAGGCAGTATTTTTTTGGACCAACAGCAGCATCCTGTTAGTGAAAAATATCATGCTCATTGCCATTACATAGGAGGAACGTGAAATGGTCTCCTTAACCAGTTCAAATTTTTGCCTTTCCAAGGTAATTTGAGGTAGATGAGTCACTTCAAGACCAAGAGTGGCAGCCTTTGGCATATTTACAAAATTTCACAAGTGTGGGTAATGATCTGACTGGGATAGTGACTTTCTCCCAGGTGTGCTTTGATGCAGTTGATTTCTGTCAAGCTTGCAAGGTGAATAAATGGCATGGGCCTTTTTACATAATTGCTGATAAAGCTATTAAAATATGTGGAGTAATACAAGTAGCTACCTGTATATCTGCTGGCGAAGGTGGGCTTATGGCAGACCAGTAATGGGGAACCCAGTAGCAGCCTGTTACTTGCTATTTTGAATGGCAATGTGTTCCTTATGTGGGTACATCCAATTCTCTGAAAACATCAAGTTTTCTGCCTTTTAAACAACAATTTTCAAATCATATGATAAAATAAACCCTCCGTTCCCCATGTTTTGCTCATCTGCCACCTTGTTGTCCAATGACTCCGCCTATCTATATTGCTTTGCAGCTTGCATCCTCCCCATAACTTGGGCTTCAATTTAGATTTGTATCAGCAAACTTGGATCCATGATTATTCATCGCTAAGCATAGCGACCAGTTTACAAATAGTTGAAACTCTAACACTGATCCTTGCAGTACTCCAGATCTATCCTTATTTGTTACATCCTCAAAGACAAATTTTTGAACCAATATTTCCTTTCAGTGAAACTATCTTCCTAATAATTAAAACATTTTGAGTGCATTAAGACTTCCTTAACAGTAGACCCCTCCTTCTTTGAATAGCAATTTGATATTAACTTTCAAGCAAGATTGCAATGAAACAAACGTGAAACAGGGTCAAGGAGATTTTTGTTGCTCATGGGCAATTGGAGGTGATCCACATCCCCAGAGAAGGTTCTACTTAGTTGCCTTCTCTAACAGTCCTATCCTTGGACAGAGCTAGGAGGATGGTAGTTCCTCGTTCCAGGATTTTAACCTAATGATAGTGAAAGAATGGCAATGTAATTCCAAGCCAGTGCAGTGTTGGACTTAAAGGGGTACTTGTAGGCGGGGGCATTACAATGCATCTACAGGCCTAGTAATTCAAGGCGGCAATGTTCACAGGTTTCGAAGGTGCTGTCAGAGCCACCTATTGGAATTAGCGCAGTGCATCTCGTAGATAGTATACAATGCCGCTGCTACATCAGCAAAGTGAGTGCTGAATGGGTGCCAAACAGGCTGCTTAGCTCACCATCATGCAGGACAAAAAGTGTTGAAGGATATTCAGTAGTCCAGGGGGAGTTGATGGCCTATTGGTACTATCACTAACTATTAATCCAGACACCCACGTTCAAATCCTACCATAGCAGATGGAGGAATGGGAATTCCATAAATATCAGGAATTAGGACTCTAATAGTGACCATAAAACCATTGTGAATTGTTGGAAAAACCCAACTGGTTCACTAATGCATTTTAGGGAAGGAACTGCCATCCTTACCTGGTCTGACCTACAAGTGACCCCAGATCCACAGCAACACGATTGACTCTTAACTACCCTCTGCACAATTAGGGATGGGGAAATACATGCTGGTCTGGCCAGTGACACCCAGACCCCATGAATAAACAGGAAAAAAAAGGAGCATATTCTACCACATTCCTGATAACGTGCCTTGCATTTGTGGAGACAGTTATTCACCACAGAACTTATGATTAATGGGCTTTTGCAAACATACCATTTACACAGCAGGCCCAGTTTGGCTTCTGGTTAATTATAATTCCCCAAGATGCTTATCAGAGGGGGTTAGGTTTTTGCTTATTCAAAATGGTCATTACCTTGCACTTGTGGCACAAGCATTTGCCACTTATCAATCCATCCTGGAATATTATTCAGGTCTTGCTGCAAACGGATACAGGCTGCTTCAATACTGGGGGAATCCCAAACAGGGTTGAATATTATGCAATCAGCAAACGTCACTACTTTACACCTGTGATTGAGGCAAGGCCATTGATAAGGAGCTGGAGATGACTGTCTAGAATAATGCTACAACTGTCCTTTAATGACCTAAAATGGATGACCTTCAAAAATCACATCTTCCCTTGTGCTCAGTATGGCAAGTGTGTGGAGAGTTCTTCCTTTATCCAATTCTGAGGTAGCAGTGCTAAACACTGAGCCACCGTGCCACCCTTGATGTCAAGGCTGTCACACACACCTCATTTCTGGAGATCAGCTCTTTTTTCAGTGTTTGGAATGAGACTGTAATGAAGTCAGGAGCCAACTAGCCCCAAGTGTAGCCAAACTGAGCATCAATTGGTACACAAAAATTGGCCTCATTGTCTGTAATTGTACCAAACATATTTGCTTCAATGAATAAATCTTGGCAAATTCTCAAAGCATCTTTCACACTGATTAGTGTTAATAACCTATAAACACCTAGTTCATACTCCACAAAAACCTCACTGGGAAAGGGGCATCTGAGCTTGAAACACTGGTTTGTAGAGCAGCTTTCCAATAAGTATGACCTCACCATCCAATTGTGGTGCAAGCAATGACCTCAATCAAAGCTGCTCTAAGCAATTGTGCTACTGAACTTCTCAAGGCAGGTCTGGGAAACAACTACACCCTGATTAAATATTTCATGTCACTATGACAGATAGTGTAAAATAATACCATACAAAAATTGATACTTCACTGTTGCCAGCTAAAACCATTCTACATAATTTATGTGATCTAGATTTGACTAATCAGTTTAGAATGTAGCTCATGTTCTTTTGCCTACATGTAAACTGTTGAGTGAATCTTGTGGTATAGTGGTGCCCTTCCTTCTAGGTCAGAAGGTCAGGGTTCAAGTCCCACCTACCCTGAAGGTATGTAATAACGTGTCTGACTAGGTCAATTAAAAATATGTTAGTGCACTCAGTCAAGGATACATAAATTTAAGCCTCCTGTTTCTCTTAAGTTATCTGTCAACACAGCATATTTCAGACTGTCCCATCAACAGCACAGAAATACTATTCTAAACTGGGTGCGTACATATCTATTTTCCATTCCTCTGTTTATATATATAGTTTACCATTTGCCGAGAATTGCTCCAGCTGACTAATTTCAACGGCAGGCTAATTAAAGTTCCTTATGTGCATGGTCATGAAGATTAGTTTATTATTTTGTAGATGGGAAGCAAAATGATCATGGGTCACCTACTCGTTCCTCAGTGCTAAACTCAGTGGATGAGATACAAAATTCATATCCAAAGCACATTCTTCAAAAGACTGGTTTATGCCATTAGCTAGAGAGTGTGGAACATTGCACCCTCTCAAGAAGGGCACTCATGCAGGTGTCTCAAGTGCTACATAATCAATTAAGCTGGTGCCAACTGCACCACAGTCCAGCTGGCTGATCTGATGCTACATTGCTAATTCCTCCCATCAAACAAACCATGCACCCTTTGACAGCAATGTACTTTGGACACAATTTTAACTCCCTCAATCCCATATTCACTAGATTCACTGCCAAGGAGCAGGCAGGTGATCTGTGATTAGTTTATTATTTTGTGAAGGGTGCAAACTTAACTTAGTTTACATATAATACCATATATAAATTAACCTGCAGCTGAAATTTGACAGGTCGATTGGGATGAATTCACACATCATTCAAAAGATAAAATGTTCTGCTACAAGTGGAACCCAACGTTTGTTATTTTAAAAGGATCAGGCATTTAACTGGAAGGAAAGAATGAAGAATTTCTTCTTTTGGAAAATGTTTGCATTTTGTGGAGTGCTTCTTTCAAGTCAACTTACACAACATTAGAATAAGTCTTCCTCCAAAAACGTCTGGCTCAAAACAGCTCAGGTAGTAAAGGGTACTTTCTGCACGAGCCACTTCTTTTACTGAATAGAACACAGATTACTAAAAAAGCAATGCAGAAAGACCCAGGAAATAAAGGAGGCATACAACACAAGGAAATGCAAAGCAAAAATCCATTTATTTTTTTTAAAGACTATAAAAGTCTTCCTTCTAATATTGCGGAGGGATTTGACTCCAGGGGGAAAAAAAAATAAAAATCGATCACAACAGGCGATCACAGTCTCTTTCCAAACCTCAAGTGCTTATTACATTCTTGTGACCGTAGTACGAGATGTCCATTGTATCTATTTGGCCATTTCAGGTTTATCAAAGCCAGTAGCTTTCTTTGTAAAAGTAAAACGTCAATTTTTTTAGTTCTAACACTGACTCCCCCCACCCTCCTCCCCCACAAAAAGCAGCACTATACCCGCACCAACACCACTGTAGTTAAACCTGTGTAGTTGAATGTAGAATGCCCTTTTTAAAAAAATCCACATCTTTGCAGGGTTCGGCTTTCTCCATTTCAAAAGCTACAAGTTGCAAAATATCCTCAATGGAGACAAATTTACAGAAAATCTCTTCCTCTAAAATGTTTCTCAAAACCTAAAAATTGGCAACCTTGTGTATCCAAGATCAAGTTGCTGAACCCTCTATCTTCTGTGCACACATAAGATGGACTACTGATGTTTTGCACAAAAAAACCTTCAAGCAGTCCAGAATAACAAATAGATTTTTTTTTAATGGACATGAGTTATGCAAAGGTAACCCTCTACCACAACAAAAAGTATAAAAACAACCAGTCTTATCTAGAACATTGTTGCAGCATTTAGTTATTTTCGATTTGTTCTAGATCCAGATCACCACAGTCCAGCCGGAATATTCCTTCTTCAGTGCTTTCACAATCACTTGTATCTTCCTCACTTTCGCTCACAGTGACTTCATTCCCATAATTCCTTGGATGGCAGCCATCTCGGCTCCCAGGGACATGATATCTTGCAGAGTCGCATTCTTTGATTGGACTGGAGCCCGGAGTGATGTTCATTAACAGATCATTTGAGTCACATGGTGAGGACACAATAGTTTTCATATGATGCTCATCGTCATCATCATCTTCATAGTCGAGAGAGCAAAGGCTTTTCGAGTTCTTTAATGTCTGAAATAAGAAAAAGCTTGATTAATGAAGAACACAAGTTCTGAATCATTGCACTTACAGTTGCTCATTTATTCACATTAGAACCATTTCTGAAAGATCAGATAACAAGCTAAGTCCCATTGTAGCAGCTCCTCTACACACCTTTGAAAATGAAAGAAGGGTGTTGATAAACAGAAAAATAAAATACGTATGGGTGCGTTGAACAGAAGTTTGGCAAGTACATGGCGAAGAAAAGCAAAGGTTATGCTGATTGAATGAGATGAAACAGGACAGTAAGTGAATCCTGCAAGTAACAAGCACTAGGAATATTCCCATTGGATCTCAATTTTCCAGCACAGAAATTACCCAAGAAGAGTTTGCACAGAGCACAATTTCTCAGCATAAATTATGCACTCATGTCTATGATATGGGGTTAGCAATCTTGCCAGAGTCAGAAGCTATTACTAATGCATAAGTCGACATCTAAGAGCCTTGAACTATACACAGAAGCAAAGAACAAGTAAAGCAACTGTGTTGAGTTACTTCCTGCAGTTCAATCCTACACTATTATAAACACATTCATTTTAGTTTTTTGGGAAAACATGGAAAATATCAAAATTAAAACTGCTTTCTTTCCAACAGACCTCATGGAAAAATACTTAAAGGCCTTTACATGTGTGCACCACCTACATATAAGAAACGACTTTTACAAAGGAAAACTGGATAGATGAATCAGGAGGAAATTAGGAAGGCAAATCAAAAGCCTGTGTCTTAGGGAAATTTTAAAAATGGAGACAGAGGAGTGTAAGGGGAAGTTCCAGAGCATAAACCCTAGTTGGCTGCAGAAATAACTGTCAAATGTGTGTCAACACAAGGCAACTAAAGGCCAAAAACAGGAAGAGAGAATTTATTTTTTATAGTTTTTTTCAGCATTGAAAAGCAAGTATGTACTCTGGGAAGAGAAATGGAGTTCATGACTCAGTTAGTTACTGGTTTATGACTTCTGTTTCTCTGTTCAAAGCAACTGCCTGACTTACTGAATATTTCAACCACTTTCTGCTTTCATTCAGCAAAGCCAGTCTGGGGTGGGATGTAAATCACAGTGGGAACGTTAGAATTCAAGACACTGGGAAATCTGCAAGTCACCAAATGTGAGCAAAGCGAGTAGGAGCTGGTGTGATGTGCAATGAGGAAAGTTTTAGATGAGCTCAAGGCCAGTGAAGACATTACTGCAATAGCAGTATCTGGATAAAAAGCATACAGAAAGGATTCAAAGGCAGTTGGATTGAAGGGGATAGTTTTTGTTGTAGTGCACTGAATACGGGGCTGAAAGTTCAACTTGTGTTAAATACAACATCAAGAGTAGGAACAATCCAATCCTCCCTGAAACAGCCAAGGGAGGGAAGAGTCAATGGTAAGGGTTTGGAGTTTGTGTTAAGTCTTCAATAGTCAACTTTAGTCTTTTTGATGGATAGCCGGTTTCAAACTATATCTTATCCAAGATTTATTTAACCTTTTCACAACTACTTCAAACTTCCTATTCCTTAGATAGTGCTGCAGATGCTAGAGTTTCTAAAAAAGTGTTTTCTCTTCCCATTCCTCAGGTTCTGGTTGCAAGAATTATTCCTCCACCCTGCAGTCAACACCCCCAAAGCTCTTAAATTCCAGTTTGGTTGTAAACACAGGAACAGGCTCAAATTGTCGTAAGGAAACAACCCAAAGCCAAACAGAATTCAAAAGTTGTAAGTTACTTAAAGGGAACTTGCTTGGCTGTTTACAATTGATCTACATTTCAACTTAAACACTTAGTACAACTCTTGTAGTTAAATAAAGCTAATTACTAATGACATCATGGTTTCCCCATCTGCAAGAACAAGGAGGAAGTTAAATTGCTAACAAGACCTCAAATTTGCCTCCCTGCTTACAAAATCATCATGAATACCCTTTCAACACAATTGTATAACACTTGCATGAAATTTCAGTTGTGAGCAAAACTGAAATTTACAGTTCTCATCCCACGGTCATCACTTCTGCAGCCCTCCCTGATCGAACCCTTGTAACCCACCTCCTGTAACCCGAGAACCAAGCGCTTCCACATCTCCAATTTTTGTTGGCCTTTCATTGAAAGCAGTATCTTCAATTGTCCGCATGCTTAACTCTAGAATTCCTTGCCTAAACCTTCAGCCCTGCACTTTCCAGCACCGATTGTTGTGGCACACCACTGGTCACAGGCTTCCAGTCCTAAAACAACCCTCCACCGTCACCCGTCTCCTACCCTCAAATCGTAAGTATCAGTGCTGGGTTCACTGCTTTTGTCATTTATATGACCTGTTTGGATGTGAATATGGGAGGTATGGTCAGTATGTTTGCAGGTGACACCAAAATTGGTGGCGTAGTGGATAGTGAAGAATGTTACTTCAGAATACAACAGCATCTTGATCAGATGGGCTCATAGGCCAAGAAATGGCAGGTGGAGTTTAATTTAGATAAATGTGAGGTGTTGCATTTTGGCAAGGCAAATCACGGCAGGACTCCTACACTTAATGGTAAGGTCCTGGTGAGTGTAGCTGAAGAGAGACCTTGGGTTGCAGGTGCATAGTTCCTTGAACGTGGAGTCATAAGTAGTCAGGATAGTGAAGGCGGTGTTTGATACATTTGCCTTTAATTGGTCAGTGCATTGCATATAGGAGTTGGGATATCATGTTGCAGCTGTACTGGATATTGGTTAGGCCACTTTTAGAATACTGTGTTCAATTCTGGTCTCCCTGCTTTTGGAAAGATGTTGTTAAATTTGAAAGGGCACAGAAAAGATTTACAAGCATGCTGCCCAGATTGGAAGGTTTGAACTACAGGGAGAGGCTGAAAAGGCAGGGACTATTTCCCCTGGAGCAGAGGTTGAGAGGTGACCTTGTAGAGGTTTATAAAATCATGGGGGACATGGATAGGGTGAATAGCCAAGGTCTTTCTCCCAGGGTATGGGAGTTCGAAAGTAGAGGGCACAGGTTTAAGGTTAGAGGGAAATACATAAAAGACACCTCAGGGGCAACTTTTTCACGCAGAGGGTGGTGTGTGTATTGAATGAGCTGCGAGAGGAAGTGGAGGACGCTGGTACAATTACAACATTTAAAAGGCATCTGGATAGGTATATGAATAGGAGGGTTGAGGGGGATATCGGTCAAATGCTGGCAAATGGGACCAGCTTAATATAGGATACCTGGTCGGCATGGACAAGTCAGACCAATGGGTCTGTTTCCATGCTGTACATCTGACTCTTCGCTCTTTCAAGTCCCTACTTTTAACCTGTCCTAAAATCTCATAGTGGAGTGTCAAATTTTGTTTAATGCTAGAGGTGCCTTTGACCACTTTATTAGAGCAACTGTGCAATACATAAATGCAAATTATTGCCTGATAGAACAAAAGGAGTAAACACCGTAGCCACAGGCTTACAGATCGTGAGAAAAAGGAAGAGTTCAAAAATCATTCATGATCTCACTCTTGATACTTTAGCTCCTCCACATGATTTGTAAAGTAGACCACAGACTTAATGAGCTCTTTGCTCATAAAATTTACAAGCAGACAATGATTATTTTTAAGAATGCTTCAAGAGAACAATTTAGTAGACAATATAAAAAAGGTAAAACAACTTTTGTTAACCAGGATCAAGTGATCTTAGTCACAAGATTTTCTATTGTATCTTTGAAAGGCATAAAAAGAAAAATAATTTCATCAATACTCCAAGAAAGTCAGTGGCATGAATAATGATAAATCAGCATTTGTACTAGAATTTACATTGGAACAGGAAGTTGTTTTTAAAATTTGCTTCCCAGTTTTAGTTTGACAAGCAAATCCAATTGGTATCAGACTCCGACACTGAAGAGAACTTGGTGCATCACAAAAAGAGCAACTAAACCCAGAAGAATGAAACATTATTCGCATAAATACCAAGGAGATAACAGTCTCATGATAGAGTGATGGAAAACTCATTGTCTGTCAAAGCAGCATGTTTTTGGTTTTAAAACCTAAAAGGATGGATGCAGTTTTGGCTTTTCTTCAGTACTGCAGTTCCAAATAATTCTAAACACCTTTTTAAAAATTTTACCTGACAAGTCTGAACCAGATTGAATGTAGAGATATGGAAGACAAAATCATATTTTATCATAATGCTTCTCAAGCTATTGAAAACAAGTCAAGGCTATTTCCTATCTGCAATCAACACAGCTGCTGTTAAAGCAAATAGTCCTGCATAGAGAGTAGCCAGCTTCCTCTTCATTTATTTACATTCCAATGGGGCATTCGCTGAAGCATTTGCAAACCAGTCAGAATACTGGTAAATTACATAAACTGGCCCAAAGTTGATTCTTAATGACAGTAGTTACAAAAAAATCACACGCCTCTGCATCTTAAAAATACATTTCAATTGTGAATTTCCCCATCATGCGTGTTACCGGGTTACTTGTGGTTAAAATAGAATCCACAACAATGGAATACGTGAAGCAGCTCATTTCCTTTTCATGAACCTATCTACAAATGCAGATAATAATTTAGATGAGGCAAAAGATGGTCCACAGTCCAACAAAGAAACAGCTTTAAAGCCATTAAAGAGTGACCAGGAAGCAACTCGAGATTCCATAAAACACAAGAGCAGAAGTAGGCCATTCAGCCCTTTGAGGTTGCCAATGATCTGACAACTGTCAACTCCACTTTTCTGTAACTCAGATCCCTTACTGAGTAAAAGTCCATCTCAGCTTTGAACACTTAACTATTGATTTTTTTTCCATTAGTTTTTAAAATTATGAACAACTTTGAAAACACTGAACACACTTTTTCCTTTGGTTGGGGAGTCAGTGACCAGAAGGTTAGCATTTTAAATTGGGATAGAGATCACATACAGGAGGTGAGATTTTGTTTTTAAACTAAACATGGAACTGTAAGAAACTCAATCCTTTTTCTTCCCACACAAGAAACAGCTCAGACCAAGACGACTGCATCTTAACAGACACTAGATAAACTTCTGAAGCAAA